TATATATATATATATATATATATATATATGCCTACGCTCTTCATTCTAGCAGCAAAACGCTTTAGAGAGTTGCCAACATTGTCTCCTAAGCGATCGTCTTTGCCGCTTAAGACAGCAGCACCTGCTGCTGCCTCCCATAGAGAACACCAACGGGCAGCAGCAGCAGGAGACAGCACCTTTCCCTGAGGAGACAAAGCAGCAGCAGCAGTAACAGCAGCAGCATGAGCAACGGCGCCAACAGCAGCAACAGCACCAGCACGCAGCTTGGTGATTCAGCTAGAACTGCTCGAGTTTGTGTCTGTCTCCTCTCTCTTGCATAGATGTAGAAGCAACTGTCTCCTTTCTTACCAAAGGCAATTCCCCGCGTTGCATCTCTCTGTCTCCGATTGCCTCCTCCAGCAGCTGCAGCAGCGGCTGCAGCAGGACCTGCTGCAGCTGCTGCTCAGGCAGCTGCAGCAGGCGACATGCTGCAGCAAACGGAGCTGCCAAGGGAGCTCGACGCTGCGCCTGGCCCAGAAGCATTTTCAACATTTCTAGAGGAGCAGTTTGCTTCTTAGCAGCAGGAGCAGCAGGGTCTGCTGCGGTTCCTGCAGGAGCAGCAACACTTCTGCTACTTGCTGGTGCCCGGCGAAAAGCTGTTGAGATGGCCGTCTGCAGAAGAGAAACAAAGACCCAACAGCGCCAGCAGGTGCAGTACCAGCAGCAGGAGCATTGGACGGCGTGCATCTCAAGCCGCCACCACCATCGCCAGCAGCAGCAGCAGGAGCAAGAGCAACAGCAGCAGGATATGGTATGTCCTTGTGTGATTCTTACCTCTAGCGCATGCACTGCCTCATTAGGTTCGGCTGCTATAAACTCCTGCAGCTTAGGGAGGAGGGCCTTAGAGAGACAGCCGGAGACATCGAAGGAGACATAATTTAATAGCTGAGGTATATACGCCCTAAGTGTCTCCAAGGGGATATTATTCAATAGTCTCCGCAGCCGCAGCTCAAGGATATTCAAAGGCTCAGGAGCAAACCCTAATGCTCCTGCTGCTGTTGGTGCTGTTGTTGCTGCTGTTGACGCTGCCGTTGCTGCTGCTGCTGCTGCTTCTGCTGTAGTTGAAGAGGGATGACCATGGAAGACAGGGCCGCGGCGCCTTAAGGGTACGCATGCACCTGAAGCCTCTGCACACAGCAGCAGGACTTCGGGCAGCAAACCAACGGTGCGCCTGCTGTATTTGCTCCTAGTGCCGTCAACAGCAGCCAAATCCACTACCAAGCAGCAGTATATCCAAGACACTGCAGGAATTGCTGTACTAGCTGCTGCTGATGATGCTGCTGCTGCGGTTTCGTGGGGGGTTGCGGCCCCGGTTGGGAGTGCGCCAGCACCAGCAGCAGAGGCAGCACCAGCAGGAGGTGCTGTTGCCGCTGCTGGTGCTGTTGCAGTATTCGTCTCTGCTGCCTCCTCAAGCGCAGCAAGGACTCGCCTTGTAACAACAGCACTCAGCCAGAGATACTTTGACCGGGTATGCACACTGTCAGAGAAGGCAGCAGCAGCTGCTGCTGCTGCAGCGGCAGCTGTTGGCTCGGTTCCACTGTGCTGCTGGAAGCTTGCTGGTGCAGCCTCATATTCCATTCCTGCTCCACCTCTTGCTGCCGTTGCTGCTCCCTCTGCTGCCGGGGTATTGGCATTGCAGAACTCTGGAAGACTGCAGACGTTGCCTACACACCTCAACGCCTCCTCAGCCGCTCTCAATACGACCGCACTGTTGCTGCTGCTGTTGCTGGTGCTGCTGCGTGCGACTGAGCTCCGCTGCATCTCGCGTAGCACGACACTGTGGCACTCCAGCTGAAAACTTAAGAGGAGACCCGCTGTCTCCTCGCCTCCACCCCCATAAGCTGCAATACCCCGGGAAGCAGCAGACAGCCAACATTGCTGCTCCTGTTGCTGCAGTAGACTCAGCAGCTGCTGTGCTTTTGCCGCAGCGCTGCCGCCCCCACCAGAGTGTACACGCAGCTCGCGAAGCTTCAGCTTAATGATTGTACAAAACAGGGGAAGATCCTTCAAAGACAGCATTTGCTGCTGCTGCTGCAGCACATCCTGCAGCAGCAGCGCGGCAGTGCCTAGCCCATCTGGGAGCTTGGCTAGCTGCCGCGCCGCATGCGCTGCAGCGGAACAGCGAATCAAGGAGAGTGTCTCCTCTGTCCTCTTTTGACTCTCAGCTATCTCCACAGCATCTAAAGGAGATGCCGGAATTCTAGAGCCTTCCCACTGGTCCCCCACCTGATTCTGCTGCTGCTGCTTCTGTTGCAGTATCCCTGCAAAGGTCATCACGGAGAACAGGGTGTCCAGACACACATCCAGGGGCGCCCCTGCAAAACAACGAGAGATGAGGGGGCCCCCTGAATGCATTGTGGATCTAGGGGCTGCTGTCACTTCTCGCATCAAGACTGCATGCAGCTGCTGTTGTGGGCTGGATGCATGCGCTGCAGCGAGGCAGTCGCTCAGGAAGTGAGACAGCGAGAGACGGCAAAGGGCAGGGCGCAGCAGCAGTCCAGCAGAGGAAGCTGAGGGGTAGCAGTAGCAAGCAGCTACAAAGCGTGAGAGAGCAGCAACCCCCTTCTGCACCAGCAGAGAGGCCTCCAATAGGCGCCCACGAGTTGCTGCATGCAGAGACAACAACTGATAAACAATTGTCTCCCTTAGCCCCAAAGGCCCCCCTAATGGAGACGAGCGGCTCTCCTGCAGCGGATTCATCAGCCTGCACCACACAAAACCCTATACCCTAAACCCTGAAACGTAGAGTCCTTATTTCCTGATATCTGCCTCCGTTTTCTAGTGTGTTGCATTGTTCCTCCACAGCAGCAAGTGCATGGTTTAGGATCTATTGAGGCATTAAGGGTTTGGGATTTAGGTTTATTCGCTAGCAGCTTTACAAGGTTAGCTTTGTTAGAGAGGAATCAGCAGCAGAGTGCTGCTGCTGCAGCAAAAGGCCAACAGCAGCTCTAAGAAAGCAACCCCCATCTTCCTGCATGCTGTGCTGCAGTAGTGTATCCTCGCGAGCTCTCTCCACTGGGGCAGGGGCATTGAGTCCTCCTTCGCCTCCTCGGCTCCTGCTGCTGTTGTTGCTGTTGCTGCTATTGCAAAGGAAAGGGGCCCCCAACTCAAATAGCGATCCCCACCTGCTCGCAAGAAGACAGAAAAATTCCCCCCAGTACCTAGCTGCATGAAGCAGCACGCCTTTTACCCCTAGAAGAGACAACTTGGATGGTTATTAGGAGACTATATGTGTCTCCTTATGCTGTAAAGGAGACGATGGGGGAGAGACAGCGAAGCAGCAAACAGTAGCAGAAAAGAAACGTACTGCATCATCCGCTGCAGCGCCTGCAGCTCTGCTTCCCGCATCAGCGGCCTCAAGTCGGTCTCATGTTCAGTCTCCTCCTGTGTCTCCTCCCCCGCCGTTGCCGCGCATATCTGTCTCTGCCACTTTGGGGTGCCCCCTGAAGGGGCCAACAAGCGGGCGTCGGTGGGGCCCCCAGAGTAGAGCTGCAGCAAAGCTTCTGCTGTATTTAAAGAGACGCACCGGTAGAGGGAGAGGAGCTGCAGGGTGCTTGTCTGCAGCTCAGCCTCACCGAGGTCCCTATACACCCGAAATAGAGAGATGAAATAAGGAAGCAGCGTCTTGCAGACAGCCTTACCTGCCTCTTCCTTCTGCTGCTGATTATTCTGCTGATGCGCCAAGCCTCCAAGCAGCACGCGCTGCTGCATGCAGGTTAACTCCTCTAGCAGCGGCCGGGCAGCGTCGAGTGTCTCTGTCTTCCTAGCCAACTCCAGCAACCGTGTAGGATAGATGCGGCTCCCTTCGGCCGTTGCTTCCATTGCTGTTGTTGCTGCAGTTGCCGATGCTGGCGGGGAAAGTAGCAGCGAGTGCAGGGTCAGACGCTGCAGCAAGGAGAAGAAAGGACTGTCTCCAAGTTGATCTGCGGTGCCCGTGCTGTCTCTTAAGCTTTGTTCTAGTGCTTCCCTTGCTGCTGCTCCCAGCCCCAGCACATCTGCTGCTGCTGTTGCTACGTCCTCGGCTGTTCCCAGTGACCCCCAGGTGCAGGCAGGGTCCCGCGCTCCTGCTGGGGCCTTGTGGGCATGCAGCAACAACAGCAGAAACTCTTGGCTGAAGAACGGACTTAGCTGGCAGGCCCTGTTAAGCAACTGCAGCAGGAACTCTTGTCCCTCCCCGCTCTCTAGACTGTCTCCTTCGGTGCCATCTGGGGGCCTCTCCAGCACAACTGTCTCCTCGCAGCCCGCGAGAGCATTCAGGTGCCGCTGAAGCAAACGTACACCTCGTTGGTTGCGTCTCTCTTGCATCGCTACAGCAGCAGCACGGCTAAGGGGCCCTTTTCGAGGCTCTCTTCTGAGCAGAGTGTTGAGTTCTAAGGTGTGGGGCTCCATCTGGATTGTCTCCGCCTCGCGATGAGGCACCTCTACACTGCTGTCTCCTTTGCTAACGTTCGCAGGTAGGGGGCCTCCCAGAGGGGCCCCCCTCCAGGAAGGGCCCAGCCAAAAGCGCTGCCTGGCTGGCGGCTGCTGTCCCTCCGCCAGAGAAGCAACAGAAGCAGCTCTTTGAGACAAATAGGAGAAAGAGACAGTCTCTGTCTCCTTCGAGACCCCAACCCCGCTGCTGTCTGGGAACCGATCCCCGTCCTTCCAAGAAACCCCTAGGAGAACACTTCGCAAATCAGAAATCCCCACGGTATTGGATGTGTGGGAGGCCCCACACGCCAACAAGCATGCAGCGAGGGAGGTGGAGGAGAGGCTGTGTGGGCTGGAGGTGGCGGTCTGGCCTGCGACAGCATAAGAAGCGGAGGAACTCGCGCTCCTCCCGATATCGATCCCGCTCCCGATCCCGATCCCGCTCCGGATCTCGTGTCCCCCCGAAGGTCGCTTCTGTGACCGACGGTGGCACACAGCAGCAGTAAGGAGTCGCAATATGTGGGGTGTCTTGGCAGTAGCCTTTGTAAGCCCCGTAGATAATAAAAAGCTTATCCTCGTAGAGGGAGCCTCAGGCAGCCCTCCCTCCTCCCCCCCAAACCAATAGTCAAGCTGTCTCTTCTCCAACGCAGAGTCCCCAGGAAATGGGCCTAACATAAACGACAATAGCGTCGGGCTCTCAGAAAAGGCCTGCGGTGCCACAACAACAGCAGCAACAGCAGCAGTAGCACCAGTAGCTGCAGCAGGTAGATTCCAACCGTGCATTGCTGCTGTGTTGATGCCACTTCCACTCCCACCACAGCAGCAACACGAGTGCAGCAGGCAGCAGCAGCACGACACCAGGTGAAGGAAGCTAAACATGGGGAGACTCACCAACGAATGGCGCCTGAGACAGACGCAGAGCTCGAAGAGCTGCGTTCTTATCTCCGTATCTTCTGGGGGCCCTTTAAGGAGACGGGATACAGCCTGAAGGGGGCCCCCAAGGCCCTCAGAGGGGCCCCTCTTCTTAACAAGCTCCCGCAGCAGCTGCAGGGACCCTCCGAGTACTGCAGTGTCTCTGTAGCACAGCCACAACTTTGACACACTCTTCTTCCTGAAAGAGAGCAGCCAAGGCAACAACTGTGCAGCAATGAGCCTGCAGCAAGATACAGCGACTCTTAAATCTATCCTAGCGTCTCGTTTTAAGGGGACGAAGCAGCAGGAGGCACCGCAGCTGCTGCGGCTTAGGGTATTACTGGGCCCACCCCTCAGGACTCAACAGGTCGTCCCACAGGCCCTCCAGTGCATGCAGCAGCAAATCAACAGACTCCTCCTGCCACTGCTGCAGCAACTCCTGCACGGTGTCCGCATGCACGCCTGCTGCTGCTGCTGCTGCTGTTGCTGTTGCTGTAGTGGAAGGGCTCAATGGAGACTGCGCTGCACCGAAGGCCCCCGTAAGGACGGCAGCCCCTGGTGCGTTGGAGGCCTCCTGAGAGACACTGCAGCAGCACACCGTTTGCGCAGCAGCAAGTAGGTTTGCTGCTCTTTGTGCGTAGCGCCGCTGCTGCTTGGAGGCACTGCTGCTGCTACTGCTGCCTGCAGCAGAGGAACTATTCAGTAGCACCCGCAGCAAACTAAGGAAAGAAGAAAAGGCAAGGCGAGGCACTGAGGCCTCCCCCCCCAAGAAGAAGAGGGGCTGGCCTCGCGCAAAGGCAGCAACGCACGCAGCGTAGCGTCCATCATAATTGAAGGAATACATCAGCAGCTTCTGTCTGTCTCGATTTTGCTTCTCTATATCCCCTGTCTCCCCAGTTACACTGTCTCCTGCAGCATTATTTGTATCAGCACCTGCAGCAGCTCCTGCAGGGCTGCGTGCAGCGGAGGGCCCAGGGTGAGGCCCGACCGAGACACAGCCGCAGATAGGTGGAGGCCTCCCTCGAGCTGCTGATGCTTCCTCTGCTGCATGCAACTGCTGCAGCCTTCGGTGGCAAGATCTGAGAAAGGCGAGCCCCCCTGTCTCCTGCCGCTTGGGGACTGCTGGGGCCTGACCTGTGGGGTCTAGGGGCACCCTCCTAGGTGATGATGACTTCCGTTCATCTCTGCTGTCACCTATCTCCTTCTCCGCAAGCTGCAGCGGAAACACCTTCAAGAGACTGCAGCAGGCAGCAGCACACTGCACTGCTAGTGTTGTGACAGGGAAGAAAAGGCCTCTGGAGACGGCTAGCAAGAGGTTCTTGTTGCTGCAGCAGGAGACACACAGACACATCAACGAGGAGGTACAACAACCAACACACGAGATCATGAAAGAGATATAAAAACATCCGGTAGAAACACAACCAAAATAACGTCTCCACCTAAACACTGTTGCCGGGTCTTTGCAGCATGCGCCTACATATGGAGGCCCCCAACAGCCCTTGTATGCAAATATGGTATCTGTTATGGTGCATGCATGCAGGCTTGCATGCAAGACTCTTGAAGGGCCCCATAAACAGCTCCTCAAGGGCCCCTCACAGCAGAGGGCGCCTACGGAGATGAAGAGGGAAAGGCGCGCTCAAGGGGGATTGATTACCAGAGGGTTCGGGTGTAGGATCCCCCTTGGAGATGAAGTGCTGACAGGTGTCTCCTTTCAAGGAGACAGAGACACTCTAGAATCGCAAGGCCGCCGACCCGAAAACGAAGTGTCTCGTCTACGCTGCGGATGCTCTCGTAGGAGAAGAAAGGAAGCAGCGGCAGCTGCAGCAGCGGCAGCGAAGAATCCCCCGAGGAGACAGAGGAAAGAGAAGAGACACCAGAGGCTGAGGAGACAGGTGCATGCGACGGCTTTTGTCCTTCAAGAAGCAAGTGGACTCGCTCTAGCAAAGCTCCAACGAGCATCAGATTAAGCCTGTAGATACAGCAGCAGCAAACGCAGCAGCAATACAAGCAGCAAAAACAGCAGCGACCGGCTTTGATGAAAAGGTAGTCTCCCCGTTTCGCCGTCACTGATAAACTTGATATATGTAGCAGCAATTAATGCAACAAACAAACCAAAACAAGCATCTACAGTGGAGACACTGCACATGCATCTTCAACAATAGCAGCAACAAGCATCCTCTACGGCAGCAGAAACAACAGAACTCAGCAGCAACAGAAGCACGCAGCAGCAGCACTGGAGAGGAAACAGAAGGGGTCTCAAGCTTCCCTAATGGGGGCACTATATCCCTATCGGAGCGCATGCATATACGAATCTGGCATGCAAGCGTATGTTTATCCACACTACTGTACAGTTATTGAATAATAAAAGACAATGTAGCATATAGTGCAATTAAAAAGCAATAAAGAATAATTTGCCTAAGGTAAATGGCAAGGGAGACAAACTTGTGGGTGGGAGGATCAGGGCTCGTAGACAGCCGAACAAGGGTCTCTGCAAATGTGGCAAGCCGTGCTGCTGTCAGCGGCTGCAGCAGCTGTTGCTGCTGCTGTAGATGAACCTGCAGCTGCTGCTGCGGGAAGTTTGATGGTTCTGAGGGATGCAGCCAGTGAAGGAGGAGAAGAGCTATATCTCTGAGGCAAGCAGAAGTATGGAGAGGAGACAACACAAGAACGCAGAAAGCCTGAACTGCGCCTTCCCGGCATGCAGAAGCAGCAGCACAAGGTTTCCTTTTTGCACCCTTTAGGTGGTGTGGAGTGTTGCAGTAGCAGCAACGAAAGAGATAATCCTTGGCCGACTATTGTGGTGTATCCTCACCTCAGCCAGTAGTGCAATCTCTTTGCAGCAGCCATTCGCCTGTCTCCAACTGTCTCCGCTACAAAGTCTAACAATCCCCTCTCTGCTAGCGGCCGCAGCTGCTGCGCCCGCTGCAGCAACGCTCGCAGCAGCACCAGCCTGAAGGCCCACACGCGGTCCCCTTCCTCACTTCCTGCTGCAACGGCTAGTCCTGCTGCTCCCGCGGCTCCCGCTGCTCCCGCTGCTCCTGCTGCTGCTCCTGCTGGTGCACCCGCTCGGGGACTGCAGTAGCGCACAAGGGCCTCCATCAATGATGGCAGTCCCAGAGGCTTCTCCCCAGTTGCAGCAGCAGCCGAAGTCCCCCACTCTTGGCTGAAGCGGAGGCACCAGCAGTCGATTAGCCGAAGCAGCTGCTGCAGCAAAGGTGCTCGGCCTACCGCGTCGTCGTACGGTGGACCCTGCAGAGACACCACACCGCAGCAGCAAGGACACAGGTGCAGCACCCGACATGCTGGACCCACAGCAGCATGGCTTGCTGCTGCTACTTCATCGGCCTTGTGTTACATCCATCACTTAAGCAATCTGCATGCAGCAGCTTCTGTTGGGGTTCCTGCTATTGTTTTCAATGCTACTGCTGCTGCTGTTTCTGCTGTTGCTGCAGGTTGTGGCGCTGCATCCTTACGTTGGGCAGTCTTTCTTCCAAAGGTGCTGCATGTCGCCCTGAGAGAAGTCGCTCTACCTGTTGCTGCGTAGTGTTGCCCTCAAACTGGAGCCCCCTGACGGTTCTGGTGCTGTTTCTGGCTGCTGCTGCTGCTGATTGTGCAGCGCCGATTCGGCCTTCCTCTGCAGCAGCAAAGGCTGGCGAGAGGGCGGGGGCTTGGGACAGACTGCGCAGCCAATGTAGGGCCCCAAGGCTGCCGCTCTGCAGCGTCTGGGTGGCTGCATGCACTACTTGACTCAACGAGGGCCTCAGAGACTGCTGCTGTTGCAGTTGCTGCAGCTGCTGCAGCAACAGCCCTGTAGCAGTTTCCCTTGTTCGCTGTTTCTCCGAAGATACGGTAGAGGCATTGAGCTGTCTGTTAGTGAAGACAACAGCAGCAGCACCGAGGGAGGAGACGAGAGAAGGAGAGGCGCCTGTTGTCTCCTCCAGAGACCCCACAAGGCCCGGCTCCCCAACCCGATTCCAGTCGATCCCCGAGCGGGCGATGGTGGCGGGAGACGGTCCCCGATCCTGGGGTTGCTCAGCTTGGGTCGGGAGCCGCTTCGGTGGGCCCCACAGGGGCAGCGCATCGTCTTTCTGCTGCCCCATGAGCTGCGCATACACCAGAAGATCGCCGTCTACGAGCGCATGCAGCCCCGAGGCCTGCCCAGTCAACAGGGAGAGGTGCACAGAGACGTTTGTTTGTGTGCTGCAGACAGCAGCGCTTAAGCAGCTGTAGGCCCCAATGCGCCCTTTCCAAAGCCACTTCTTGAACGCCTTAGACCGCCAATCAGCAATACCCAACCCTTCACCATCAGCAGCAGCAGAGTCTCTCCCCCCTACTGTTGCTGCTATTGCCTCTTGTGAGTCGCCCCAGAGGTTCTTAGGACGTCTGGTTAAATCGAAGTCATTGACAAGGGTCCTCAGGGAAGAGGAGACAGCTGCGATGGTTTCACGCGTCAGAACAAACCCTGCAGGACGAGGAGCAGCAGAAAACCCTGGGGATTTTGTCTCCATATCGCCCCTACCACTGCTTTGCTGCTGCTGCTGCTGCTGCTGCTGCTGCGCCTGCATCTGCCGCTGTTGCTGCAGCAAAGGAATCACTCTCCCCTTTAACACATCCAAAGGCGTTACTAAGAAGAGACATTCAAGGAGACTGCACGCAGCGACGAAGATCTGCAGCAAACAGACTGCGGCCTCAAGATCACCCTCCGGCTCCCGAGGTGTATGTACACCTGGTTTGCTCAGCCCTGGAAAAAAGCCCGCCCACGGAGGGGAGACTAGCTGCAGGAGGGGACTCCAAAGGAGATTCCAAACCTCACAAAAGAAGCCCGACCCATCATCTCCTGCTTCTGCTGCATCTGCTGCATCTGGTGCTGTTGTTGTCGTTCCTGCTGTTGCTGCTGTTGCTTCTGCTGCTGCAGCCCTGCCAGCAGCACGCAGCAGCGGGAGGCCTATGTGTCTGCTTAAGGAGGGCCCCAGCAGTGGGCGTCCCCTCCGTGTGGCTGCGAGTCCCCCCAAGAGCTGCCGTGCAGCTTTTTGTGGGGTGCTGCGTGCGGTGTCTAGGCAGCTGTGTGCTGTAGCATCCGCAAGGAGACGAGAGAAACAATGAGACAGAACGAAGAGCTGCAAGCGACGGCAGCCGCGCTTGCTGCAGACATAAACAATTGAAGGCAAGAACGTCTTCAAGACACCCAAGAGGCCATTATGTTTCTCTCTCAGGATATCGTGGAGATGTGACAGGCACAGAGACAAAGCATGCAGCGGTCGCCGGTCTTCTGCTGCGGTAGCAGCAGTAGCAGCGGCAGACTGTGTTCGCCGTCTTGCTGCCTGATCTGCTGCCTCTCGACCTTCAAACTTCTTAAGGACACTGTCACCTTCTGAGCATGATTCTGCCTCGCACAGCCTTGCTGCTGCAGCAAATGCACGAAGAACCGCCGCCAGAAGCGCGTGTAGCAGCACTGCGCAGTTCTGTGCCTCAGTTCCTTCAACAGCTGCAGCAGGTGTTGCTGCTGGTGCTTCTGTTGCTGCATAACCCTCGTGGATGCTGCTAGGAAGGGCTCCAAAGTCCGAGAAAGATAGAGCAAAAGAAGAAGCTGCGAGGGCGTTAACTGCATCGCTGCATATCTCCATCGCATTACATAGCAAACGCCGTCGTGTCCCCACAGATTGTCCCTCTTCAGTAGCCTGTTGCTGCTCTCCCCGCAGCTCGCCATGCTGCTGCTGCTGCAACATGTGTTGGTGCAGAGCATCCTGTCTCTTGGTTCCCACGTATACCGGCTGCATGGTTGTGGATATATCAACAGCCGCGGTGCCCACAGCAGCACCGGCAGCAGCAGCAGTAACAACAACAGCAGCAGGAGGCGCTGCTTGGAGAGTTGCCTCGTGTAGGATGTCTGTGAGCAGCAATGCAGTGTATCCGCCTTCTAACGCTGCTGCCTTAACTCTTGCTGCAATGGGAGACTCCGCCGCTAGCAGCTGCGCCGTTGCTGCTGCTAAGAAGACGAGGCAATTACTTCTGAATGGCAGCGCCCTTATGAAGGCCTCCCAATAAGACACTGCTAGCAATAAATCTGACAGTGCAGAGGCGTGGGCCAGCATATGAGGGGTCAATGCAGGCTTTAGTGCTGGTGGTGGTGATGCTGCTGCTGCTGCTGCTGTTTGTGGAGCAGCGTACGAGACGAAAGCGCGAGCCCCTAAGAGCAACTGCTGCTGTTCCTGAGGCCCCTCTTCTGCTTCTAAGGGACCCCAAAGCTGGAAGGCATCCAGCAGCAGGTGTAGCAGAAGCTGCTCCTGCAGCTGTCCTCGCCGAGTGTTGCTGCTTTCACCTTCAGTCGCTGTCATAGTTGATGCCTTTGCTGCTGCTTCTGCTGCTGTTGCTGCTGCTGCCGCAGGCACTTCTGCAGCAGGGGGCTCACCAAGAAGATGATGAACCTCGGTGTGCCGCCTGACTAGAGCTGCAAGCAGCCGTAGGAGACAGCTGTACTGGGGAAGAAGCTGGGCTTGAGGAGACAGGAAAAGGTGATAGCGCAGAATCCAAAGTGTCTCTAAAAGCGAATTTGCAACATCAGCTGTCTCCTCCCTGTCCCTTCCCCCCCACCCCACAACCTCCCGTCGGCCCACATCACCAATCAGGAGGTGGAGCGGGAAGGAGACGATCCCCAGGATGGCCTTTACCTCCTCTCTCACAGAGGCACCAGTTGCTGCTGCTTGTGCCCCAGCTGCCGTTGCTGAGGCTGGTGTTGCTGGTGCTCCAGATGCCTCTAGTCCTGTCCCTGGTAATGCCCTATTTGCTGTGTCTGCTGCAGTGGGACGTTCTGTTGGCACTCCTCCCCTTGATGCTGTTGCTGCTGATGATGATGCAGTTGTGTGGGTTTCTCTTGCTGTTGCTGCCGCTACAAGGCCCTTTGGGCCTTTTAGATCTATTGAAGACACGATGGAGCAGCGCAGTAGTAGTAACGCCAGTCGCAGCAGCCAGGAGGCTAATGCTTGTGTTTGTGTGCCGTCTCCTCCTTGTGGGAGGCTGAAGGTGTCCCCTCCTGTCTCCTCCTCCACGCTAAACAGCAGGCTCCTCCCAAGCTTCCCTTGCTGATCTGGCCTGCAAAGCAAGCCCGCAGCGGCAGCAACAGCAGCAGTTGCTGCTGCAGCAGGGGCCGTCCCCGACAGCAGCAGAAACTCGCCTGTCTCTGCATGCACCAGGTAATGACTACCATAGAGCGCCTCTATGGCTTCAATTCCCTGGACAAATGCAGCAAGAATTGCAACAAGAGAAGCAGCAGTCTCCCGCTCGGTCTCTGTCCTTGGTTCCCGTAGGCAGGGGAGCAGCAGAGAGGAGACGACACCCCAGGGGATTCTTTTTAAATCAAGCACAAGTCCCTTCGTTCTGTCTCCTCTCTGCTGCCAGCTCTTCCCGAGGGCAGCGATGCATCTCTGGGTGATTCTGTCCGCTTCCCACACACCCGCTGCTATCTTCCGTGCTTCCGGTGCTGCTGCTGTTGCTGTTGTAGCTGATGCTGATTGAGGGGACGGGGGGCAGATGATCTTGAGCAGCAAGACGACGAGGCGCTGGATGCGGTCTCTTCTGCTCCCATTTGGGCTAAACCCTTTGGCAGATGGGTTAACCAAGAAGAAGAAGAAAGAAGTCCCCAGACTTGCCTTTGTCAGCTTTCTGTCTCCTTCCGTCCTCTCCCCGTCGCCTCGTGTCTCGTCTCTGTCTCTTTCTGTCTCCTTTCCCTCTCCTTTTATCTCTTCTGCAACACCCAAGTGACCCTGTTGAGGGTCTACAAGAGTCATCAACAGAAGGCGCCCAGTATCCTCATCTGTCTCCTCCCTTTGCATCTCTATTGTATCATGGTGGTTGCCCGCCTCCTTTTGCTTCCCTTTCTCCACCTTGTGGCTGTCTACCTTTTCGTGTTGTTTGTATTGTGGATATCGGAGGAGACAGAGCTGGAGCACAGTCTCCGCGAGGGCCTCTAATGCTGATTGGTTTGGAATGCGCCTCCCGTTGGGTGTCTCTGAGCCCAGCCAGACAAACTCGAGAACCTTCTGTAAAGACTGCCGGATTCTGCAGTCTCCAAAGAGACAAGCGCATGCAGCCCCAGACGTCTGCCCCACAAACAAAAGGCTGTCCAGCAGCAGACACGCCGCCCACGCCCGTTGATTTATGCCGGCAGCAGAAAGGCCACCAAGGGCACCCGGGCATTGAAGGTGCTGGAGCACTACCTCTAGCCGTCTTCCAATCTCTGCAGCAGCACGCACAGCAGCAGTAGCAACACAATGCACCAGCAGTAATGGCACACTGCGCCAGCTGTAGTGCAGCAGTAACAGCAGTAGAACACAGCAGCACCAGTACAAAAAAAGAAAAAGAAGCAACACAAAGCAACAGCAGCACCGCAGCCCAGCATGGTGGATCAACCTAATTGTGACGGCAGTCAGTGGGTTTTAGCAGACTTCCAGGCACCGGAAGTCGAGAGGCCCGCGTCTGTACCTTTGACTGCTTGAATAGCCCAGCCGCATGCAGCTGCATGCATTTGCCCAGCAGAAGAAGCAGCGCCAGATGCAGCAGCAGAACCAGCAGCAGTTTCTGGTGCTGAGGATGATCCTCCTGCCTGTAGGTTCCCTGTGAGCTGCAGCAGAAGGGAACGGCAGACGCTGCGTGTCAGTTGATCGCCAGAGAACCTGCAGGCAATGTAGCCGCAACAAACCTTAAACCCTACATCTTAAACCCTAAAACCAGAGAGTCAAACACACCACCAGCAGCAGCACATTTCGACTTGCGGGCGTATATTGTTTAGAAATGATAGTTTAGACTTGAAGGTTTAGAGATAGGCTGGGTTAAATATTAAGGTCAAGACTTGAGTGCTTCGATCCCATTGATTAGAAAGGAAGGTTTAGACTTGAGGGTATAGAGACGGTGAGATCTAGGTATCAGGGTTTAGGCTCGAGGAATGCGGGTTTTGTTGGGTTTGCGGCGGGAAGGTGACTGACAAGGCGAAGGGCCTAAGATGTTCCATCATGCGTTGTCCCTGCAGCAACACGCGGTGTCTCCTTTCCGCCTGGATTGCTGCAGCCTGTTTGAGATTCCCATGTCTCCCTTCTGCTGCTGGTGTGGTGGCTGCTGTAGCTGCATCTGCTGCTGCATCTGCCGCTGTATCGCCTTCTGCGTCTCCATTGTCTAGGCAGACAGCCCTGTGTGTCTGAAGGAGACACTGCCCAGTGACTGTTATTGCTTGCAGGCACTGCTGCACCTCTAGGGCCTCTCTAGGGTCTCTCAGGTCTCCTCTTTCCTCCAATTCAAATAAATCAGAACCACAGCAGCAGCAGCTGCTGCTGCAGTTTGTGTAGCAGCAGCTGTTGCTGCTGCTGGTATGTGTATCCGCTGCATCCGTGTCCTGTACAGGCTTAGGTAGGGCCCTGAGGAGGCCGAAAAAGACCCTTTCGGCTGTCTCCTCCAGGAGGCCTTGCGTTCTGCCGCAGGCGCTGCTGCGGAATCCTAGAGGTAGCACTGCCCGAAGCACTATCAGGCCCCCCTGGCGCCGAGAGGGAGACCCCAGGCACACAGGCAGCAACAGCAGCTGCTGCAGCAAATGGTGCAACAGACGCAAATCCCTGTCACGCTGTCGCTGCAACAACGCTGTGTCGAGGGACTTCTCGGCCGCAGCAGTAGCAGCAGGAGGTGCAGATGCACCTGCAGCCGCCCACGGTGCAGTAGCAGGAGCACCAGCAGCCTGCTGCTCGATGCTGAGCCGCCGCAGCAACCTGCATATCAGTGCTACAGCAGCTGCTGCTGCTGCTGCACGTTGGGATGCGAAGGGGCTCCCGAGGCCCTCTGCAAGTGTCTCCACGACCGCCGAAAGCTGCAGCAGCTCAACAAGAGAAAATCACGGCCACATAAGCCGCAGCAGTAGCAGCACACAGGCAGCAGCAAAAGCTCAAGCAGCAGCAAAAACACAGCAACGAAAACCGGAAAGACGGTGATTACTACCGCTGTTGCCTCTATTTTGGGTTTAGCATTAGCGGCTCCGCTTCTCTACGTGTGGCAGCAGCAGCAGCAGCAGAGGCAGCGAGCAGGCTAGGTTAGGCCCTCACTGGTGATGACGATGCCGCATATGGAGAGGCTACAGCAACATCGAGAGAGACTTGCTGAAGCTGCAGCAGCACAAGGGACAAGACCTGTCTTGGTGCGGGATCGTTTGAAGCAATCAACTCCAGCACAGATGGCAGCACTGCTCGGTAGAGCGATCCAGTTGCAACTGCTGCAGCAGTTGCAACAGCAGCAGCTGCCTGTGGTGTTGCTTCAGCTGGCCCCCACTTGTTGTCTCCAGTGCCACCAAAGAGGCCAACAGCTGCAGCTGCAGCAGCAGGAGCTTTGAGTCCAGCAAGTGCCTTGGTTGTTATGGAGCGGAGGAGAGCGGCCAGCAATTGACAGAGAGATGCTCTCTCCTGTCTGCTTGTTGCTTCTAAGGCGGCATTTGCTGCAAGCAACGCTAAACTGTCTCCCCCAAGCGAGAGGCAGAGTTGAGGGCTTGCTGGTGCGGCTGCGTTCTCTGGGGATGTCAAAGGCAAACACAGCCGCAAAAAGGCAGCAGGAGACACTCGAGGGTCCCCTTTGAAAGCATCTCCCTCCAGCCACGCCTCAGCATAGTGCATCAAAAGGGCTGCGGAGACAGACGCTGGCAGCAGACAGGCTGGGCGTTTCACGATATGCATAGAGGCCCGAGGTCCCACATCTGCAAGCAGCAACAGTACAGACTGCCGAAGAGACACCCCAAGGGGGCCCCAGCAGCAGCCGGCCGGGGATGTACTTGAGGCAGCCTCTGAAGGATCGCCCAAAGAAGAAGATGACGGAAAAGAAAAGGAGCCCATCCCAGTCCAAGCCAACTGCAAATGCTGTCGTGACACGCCAAGCTGTCTATACACCCCAGAGCCTCTGGGCGAGCGCAGCAGCGCCTCAATAACAGAAACGCGCGCACTCTCAACCCCCCCAGGAACCAAAAGAAAAGGACGCAGCAACGGCAGAACTTCCTGCAGCAAGTCCTCTCCCCAAGACGCCTTTTCCGGCTGCTCCTGCCGCTGCTGCTCCTGCTGATGCTGGTGCAGCCATCGGTGGAGAGTAGCGACTGCGGCAGCCGCGAGCTGCAGTTGCGTCTTCCCCAGCAGCAGCGCCATTTTTACCGTCCGTTGAAAGAGGACAGGCCTAGAGAACAGGAAGCTGTCTGGGGCAGCCAGCAGCAGTGCAGCAGCAGCTGCAGCTGTTTCTGCATCGAGAGAAGGCATTGCTGCTTCCACCAGCAGTAGTGTCCTGGAAAGGGCTGCACGTGCTCTCCCTAAGGTGGGGGCGCTGTTGCTGTCAGGTGACACGCAGCCCCGGTAGCTGGAGCAGTAGCAGCAGCAGCAACTGCTCCTGGTGCAGACGCTTCTGCTGCTGCAGCTCCCCTGGGTGGTGCTGGCGGCTGTCTGGGCGCGTTGTCTGTCGTAAGGAAACAACGGCCGCTGCCCGAATGCTCCGGGACTGTCTCCTTTCGCTGCTTCTAAAGTTTTTCCTTTTATTGCTCTTGAAGTGTCTCCTTCTGCCCCCCAAGCCTCCACAAAAGGCCTCAGCGCGTGCAACAGCGCCAACAGCCCCGGCGGTGCTGAGGGCCGCAGCAGCGCCGACTGCAGCAGTGTGGCAGCGACAGTTACCCTGCGCGCAGCACAGTGTCTCGGTCTCTGTGTCAGTCCCTGTCTGTGTGTCTCCCTCTCTATCTTGCCGTCTCTCTCCCTGTGTGTATGTTCCTCCCTTTCTCTGTCCCTTCGTACTGTGCCAGCTGTCGTATCCCCGAGTGCGGTTTTCGAAGGTAAAGCATAAAAGGAGACACCCGAGAGGGAAGAAGAGACACCATAGACAGATACATAGGAGATACCAGAGAGAAAGACAAGATATACCAGAGACAAAAACGGGGCGGAAGAGGCACCAGACACAAACGGGACACAGAGGCAGTGGTTTGGAGACACAAATGCAATGAGGTACAAACAGTGACAGGAGCAAAGACAACTAGAGGAACAGAGACAGACACGTACACACACAGACAGAGACACAGATAAATACAGGAACAGAGACAGAGACAGATTGAGGGACGAACTATGGAGACCGACGAGACATACTGTTCAAGTCGAAGCAGACGGCATGTCTGTGGAGATACTGAGAATATCTGGCAGAGACAAATCGCCAGGCGCTGCAGCAGAACCTGTAGAGACACTGTACCTGATACGCTCAAGGCCAGTGCAGCAAGGCTTTTGGCCTCGTCAGCAGCATCCCTCCCACAGTCCCCAGTGTCGGCAGTAGCAACAGCTGACGCTTCTGTTGCTGCCGCTGCAGCAGCAGCAGCATGCGATGCTGCAATGTCTTTCTTCGTTTGCTGCTGTGTTGCGGTTGCAAAGGTGTAAAAGTCCTCATCGTGCAGCTGTAGCAGGAGACAAGCAGCAACAGTCTCTTCTGCTGTTCCGCCTTCAGGTGACAGCAGCAGCGCCCGCGCTACTGCCCGCAGGCTGCTCGCTGTCTCCTTTTTCTGCGCATTTGTGGGGAGCATCCCAAGGGACAGACAGGAAAACACTTCTTCTAAGATACAGCTGCACAGAGGTAAACAACAGCTACTGCCAGCAGGAGAGAACGCATGTCCAACCACAGGAGGTAGTTCGACTGTCTCTCCCAGTGGCCGTTTCTCCCGTAAAATCCTGCTGCTGCTATTCCTGCTGCTGCCTGCGCCTGGGGACGGGCTGCCCCCTATCCATTTGTTTCTGTCTCCATCAATCCCCAAGACAGCTCCCCACAGAAGACCCACGGAAACAGCTGGTGGTGTTTGCAGTTCCTTTTCTTCTGTAAACGCTAGAGATAGCGTCTGCTGAACAATAGCTCTCAAGGCAGCCATTGGGGCCCCGCCGTGGCGGTCTGACCCTGTCTCCTCTGTCTCTGCTCTTGTCTCCTTTCCTGTCCCCTCTGTCTCTTCCGCCTCTTCGGGTCTGCCGGAGTCAGAGCCGCCTGCGGGTCCCACAGCAGCAGCAGCAGATGCTGCTGCGGCAGCATTGTCTGAAGCTGCTGCTAACAGCAAGGCGCGGATTCCGCTGTTGATAGCTGTTGCAGCTTTTGGCAGCAGCGCTTGCGGCAGGGCCCCAGCCTGTGCATGCAATTGAAATAAGGAGACAGCAACTTTCTGGAGTAGCCGGCACAGCAAAGCGGGAAGTCTAAAGGGAGTTGTTTGTCTCCCTCCCTCTGTCCCCTTTGCCGCCAGCTGGTCTCCTTGTCCCTCTCCGTGCCCTGCTGTCTCTGGAGATGTTACTAAAACTCGCTTCTGCAGCAGGTGGCGGTGCGGAGTCACACAAGGTCTTTTGTGTGCTGCTGCCTCCTCAAAACGGTTTGAAGCAGCAGCAGCAGCAACAACAGCCCCAAAGCCACCAGACCCTCCAAATGTCTCCCCACCCAAAAGCAGACAAAGTGTCTCTCCTGCTGCTCCCAGGAGATGCAGCGCCTGCTTCCCCACAGAGGGACCGTGCTGCTGCTGCCACTCAGGGCCGCAACAGGCGCATGCAAGGAGGAGGCAGGCCTTCGCAGCAGCAATGCCTTGCTGCTGCCTCTCCTCAAGACAACCAACAAGAAGCAAACAGGGGAGCAGAAGCTGGGCCCTGCTGCCACATTGCTGCCACCAACCTGCAGACAAACCCACCAAATCCTTCTGAGGAAGCAAAGAGGCCTCGAGCAACTCTGATATTACGCGGGAGCCAAAAGCCCGCAGGGGCAGCCAACATTCCACGCTGCTGCTGCTGCTGCTGCTGCTGGTAGAAGGAGCGCAGGCTACTGGCACTGATGCTCCAGTGGCTGCCCCGTCCGCGGAAGCCAGTGACTCAGTTGTCATGAGGTTCCCCTCGAACTTTTTGTAAGAATTGCTGCTCTTGCTGGCGATCGTGTAAGAACTGCCTATACAGCTGCTGCTCAGCTTTGTCACTATACACAACAGCGCCCTCCTGGCTGCGTTGGAGACAGGCGCATGTGAGGAGGCCGTCAGCGCCAGAAGCCGCTCCAGCAAGGTCCCTCTCTTCTTTAGAACCCTCTTCTTCCTGCTGCCGCTGGTGGCGGGTCCCCTGGAAGCAGATGACTGCTTGGATGTGGTGCTGGCTGGCTGTTGTGCCTCTTCCAGCGTCTCGCTGAACTCGCGAGCGATGTCTCGATCAACCCAGGAAACAAGAGTCTCCACTCCCTCTGCAAGAACGCAGAGTGCTGCTGCTTGAAGAGACTGCTGTTGCTGTGGCTGATGCTGCTGCGGCGGCGCGCCGTCACCTACCATGAAGGGGCTTCTATACTCAGGGGATCCGTCGAAGGCCTCGGGAGCCCCTTGCGTGCCTACAACTACCAGATAGGAGTACAGCCGCCCCCACACTTCAGAAGGCAGCAGAGCAGACATGGATGAGGTGGCCCCCAGCAGCAGCTCACGGAGGGCCCCCAGGGCCCCCAATAGCTCCGTCGCACTCAGCACGGGGGCCCCTGGAGCGAGTTGGAGGCGGCAAACGATTTGCTGCAGCACCTGCTGCAGCCAAGGAGCAGAAAGGCTAGGGTAACCCCGCAGACGGCTCAGCAGCGCAGCTGCAAACGACACAGTAACAAAAGCAGCAAACACGGCACCAGCGGCAAGTACAGCAGCAGCGGGAACCCTACCACCACCACTTGGCTCTGCAACTGCAGCAGGAACACCTGCAAAAGCAGCAGCTGCTGCTGCTTTTGCACTAGAAGCGCCTGAATCAGCAGCATCTTCCCTTCACCAGCAGCAGCAGGAGCATCTGCATCAACAGCAGCAGTGTCACCAGCAGCCAGTTTCTGTGCGTCTGCTGCAGCCACCTACCCAGCAGCACAAGAAGCTCTGAGCGCACTGTCGCGCCCCCTCTCTTTCCACTGTCACTCAGTTCTTCATAGAGACGCCGCAGGAGGCGCTCTAAGGAAACGGCTGGGAGAGGCAGATGCGCCCAGGGAATCCCCCAAAGCCTATCCATTAAGGCCCCCTGAGGGGCCCCCAGGGGGCTCCCCTCCGTTTCGGGCGCGAAGATCGATCGCAGAAGCCTTGCAGCGGCTTGTTTAACTTTGTGTGAAGCATCAACGACCAAGAGATTTAGAACTGTCTCCTGCGGAGGAAAAATAAGGGAGGCAAATAAGATATTCAACGCATTCAGCAACGGCGTTGGATGCCTGTTTTAGCCTTAGAGAAACAGCTGTACGCAAGGGGAGTTTAAACGCATATGGAACGGACAGACAGGCAGAGCAGCAGCATCAAAACGTTGCAGGACAACCAAAACTTCCTTCCCAACAGCAGCAATAGCAGCAGCAGAAACACCAACAACAGCAGTAGCAACAACAGCAGCACCGGTAGCAACAACAGCAACAGCAACAACAGCATCAGCACGAACGCCAACAGCAATGACAACAACAGGAACAGAAACAACAGCAGCAGCAACGTGTATCTCCGTACAGTGAACTCAGCTAACGCGTCTGCTTGGTGAGAGGCAGCAAAAGGCCTCAAGGAGAGCACAACGATGCGACCCAGCTCCAAAGCCTGTTTCTTTAATGTTACAAGAGGGGCTTCCTTGTGCAACGCAGCAGCAGCAGCTGTTGCGATCAGACCGGAACTCGACAGAACCACGTTACAAAGAGCTGCTGTTGTCGCGGTTGAATTGTCCCCCAAGGTATACGAGACTCCATGGGGGGCCCCAAGGCGACCACCAAGGAGCGGTAGTTCCCAAGAAAACAGATTCTCAACATCTTTAATGCAGGCCTCGAGGATGTCTGATATAGTCTCGTATTGGTTTGGCTGCAACGGGCCTGCTGCCTCAGCAGACGTACCAGCCAGAGCAGAACGCAACTGGGCGTTGAGTGTGAGGAGCCTACGGGATATTGTCAACCCTTCCATCATGAACTGCAACGCCAGCACCAGCAGCACCAGCAGCACCAGCAGGGTGGACCATTTTAGCCGCAATCGAGACACGAAACTGCAAACCCAGGGGCGAGAAGGTCAAGAGCAGCTCCACTTCATTTTTATTCTAACTGCACTTAGCTAACAAGCAAAAATATATTCTCCTTCCTGAAATGTAGCACTCAGCTTCCGTTACCTTAAGAAACCAGAGGGGCCCCGGCGCGACCGCGTGACCATCAGGCAAAGGTAGGAAATGAATTAATTCAATGCTGCAAATATTATATATAAAACCGTGCAAATGTTTATTGTTTACTAGACTATAATTGGTATTTTTACCCAAATCGATGCCATGATGAGTCGGAACAGCTGCAGCGGACATCTGAGCCGCCCGCCTCACTCGCGAGAAATTTAAATTAAGTGTCTGAAAAATTCACCAATGTTTGCATTGAAAAAGAAGCCTTCCCAAGAGGTTTTGAATTATAAATAATAAAAATTTTAATCGCCAGCATTCCGGCGAAACAAGCCGACAAACTGCAATTACAAAACCCGTTAGAAGTTTATGGACGTGCTCGCGCAGAGTTTAGACGAAGATACTAATGAGCTTATTGTTATTGAAGGTACAACGCATGATGGAACTTAGGATCTACGAAGCTGAACGTTTGAGCTGCAACACGTTAGATGAAACTAAGGACAAAATCACCCAAGCATTCGCTATGCACTACACACGCAGTGACTCACGCACCTACCTGCCTATATAGCAGGTGCATTAATGCATCTATTATTTACTACCTGAAGGCTTCACCTGCAGCATCCCACCACTTTCGGCCTCTCGTCTACAGCTACATGTTGCACATCCGGCCTACGTATCCAAACCACGGGATTCTGCTGCAACCACTAGATTGTTCAGACGGTCAGATCCTACACCTGCCACTATATGCGTGCCACATACACACTAGCCACTCTTTTACTGCAACAATGGATCTTAAGCTTGGCGACGTAGCACATCTAATGTCACTGCTGGAGCTCTTTCTTTTACTGCGTCGCCTCAGCTTCTATACTACGACACCATATATTCAGGGAGAGTAACAACTCTACGTGCAAAGCTGCGACTTTACTGCACTCTAGATGCCCTGCTGCAGGCATTCGAGACAAAAAGGAATAAGGAATTCTTGATGCTGGACTTAAGGTGTGTTTTTGCGTCTTTGTCCCAAAGAAATGAGGAGGAAAGCGGCTGCCTCACCCCCAGACTTCTGGAGTCTTCTCTGGGCGCTCAAAATCAGCACCACCACTGTTGCTCTTTAACAATATTCAACTTAACACCACCACAAAACTCCCGCTCATATGAGGCCATCGCCTACACACAAAGCGGCCAAGCGCGTTTTTCGGAAAGAAGCGTACCAACCAGCTACACGCTGTCCCTCCCAACACCCCAACACAACCCCTTCCCCTCTTCTTCCCTTCGGCCTATTGAGACGTGCGTTTAGTCGACCTCCTCCATCTTGGACGCCTCATCGGCAGCTCCTTCAACCTCCTCCAGGGGAGGCAGGTCGTCCTCCTTTGCCTCCTCATCATCATCAATGGAAAGACCCAACTTGATCATGCGGTGGATACGAGCTGCGAATTGTGTGGGTTCTTCAAGGCTGAAGCCAGAGGTGAGCAGCGCGGTATCGTAGAGCAGCCAGATGAGATCCTTGACAGTCTTGTCGGACTTGTCGACAGCTGCCTTGTTCTTGATCTCTACCATAATGCTGTGGTGTCCGTTAACCTCCATAGTCTTCTTGCTGACCATGTAGCTGGTCATGCTGTTGTCGCGAAGCGCCTGTGCCTTCATGATACGCTCCATATTTGCTGACCAGCCGAATTCGGTGGTGACAAGCACGCAAGGAGAGTCTGTGATTCTGTTCGACAGAACGACCTTGTCGACCTTGTCGTGAAGCACCTCCTTGATCAGCTTCAGGAGTGGTTCGAACTCTGCCTTCAGCTCCTCGAACTTCTTCTTCTCTTCCTCAGTTTCGTCGATCTCAAGTCCCTCCTTTGTGCAGCAACGCAACTTGTGGTTGTCGAACTCCTTCAACTGCTGCACCGCGTACTCATCAATGGGGTCTGTCATGTAGAGCACCTCATAACCCTTCTTGGTCAGCTTCTCAAGGAATGGAGAGTTCGCCACCGTCTGTCGGGATTCGCCAGTGATGTAATAGATGTCCTTCTGGCCCTCCTTCATGCGGTCAACGTACTCCTTGAAGGATACCATGTCCTCTCCAGACTTGCTGCTGTGGAACCGCAGGAGCTCGGCAATCTGCAGCACAACAGCCAACAACACCAGCAGTCCAACTTTGAGTCTAGTATAGTAACTCCCACAAAAAAATTAGCTCTATTGATGAAACGCAAGGTACAAGCAAATTGTCAGTATTTTTGGGTTTTCGGGACTTCCTCCGCACAGGCACCGCACTTGCGGCGTAGGCGTGGTGCATGTTCCCAATCATCATAGCAAATGCACATACAATAGTTCTAACCAAAACAATGCATACAGCCACTATATATGCACAAATTCTATGTCTTAGTCCATTTTTATCGCGGGTAACGCAACCACCTCCCATCATAGCGGCTGACCTGCCGTTGTGCCTCACTACACATATACAAGTATATATACGATCATATATATATATATAT